TGTATTGGTCTAGTTGGTTCATCATCAAAATCCTCAAAGTCCCCAAAATCATCCCCGCCCCCCTCTTGCCACTCATCATCCCCTCCCTCCTTCCATTGATCCCCACCCTGGGCATCATTGTTACTCCAATTGTCCTTTGATGCCAACCAATCAGCATCTTTAGCCTCTCCGTTGTCACTGGTCTCCTGAAATGAGGCCCAGTTCCCATCGTTGTTAGCAGCGGAGTCTTCAGAAAATGATGCAAACTGGCTACTCGGTTCATTATCTTTTTTTGTCTCTAAATCATTTGAAGGTGCAGAACCAAAATCTGCAAAGTCATTAAAATCATCTTCATTTTTTTCCTGTCTATCATCGATATTAAATTCTTCTTTTTTAAATTCTAAATCATTTGATGGCGTAGAGCCAAAATCTGCAAAGTCATTAAAGTCATCATCATCATCATCATCTTCCAACCCAGAAGCAACATTTGTTTCCGACTGGGTATTGTCAATATCTCTCTGATCATCAGTGTTTTCCATATCCTTATTAGATGCATTCTTTTCACTGTTGTCTAATTGACGAAGATTCTCTTCCTCTTCTTCCGAATCTAAACCTTTCATGTCCTCTCGGAGTGCAGGGGTCCAGTCGGCATCTGGTGCTGTAAAGTTTGCTTCACTAAAGTCATCTTCAGCATCTTCATCAACAGAATTCCTATCCTTACCTACTTCACTGTTTTTATCATCTATGTCATTTATAGCTTCTATTTCCTCTTCCAAATTTTCTTTTTCTTCAGATATCTCTTCAGTACACTTGGGTAAATCATTTATATTTTCCTCACTTTCTAATTTTGGTGTACTAAGATCTTCCTGACTTTCACTGAACAGTTCCTCTGTGTTATTGGTTAGAATTGATTTGGATTTCTCATTAATTTGGTCAGTGCCTAAAATTTCTGATGTTGCTGAATTTATATTTTCATTAACTTCCCCAAAATCCCCCCAGTCATCATTATCATCCATTTGAATGGCTTCACTATTTTCACTTTTGAGATCTATTGAAGAAGGGTCCTCTACAACACTGTCTTTACACTCTTGATTTGTACTAATGTCCTGAACTGATTTTTCATTATCATCAGAATCACCAATTCTAACAGAATCAGGTTCAGCATCTTTTTCAAAAGATTCAGAGCAATGATCCATTTGATTTAATGAAATTGACGTCTCTATGTTTTCCGATTTACTAAAACGAATTTCAGATGCAGAATTTTCCTCTGATTTATCATTACTGTCATCATTTGATGATTGACTAGATTGTTCAGGAAAATCACAGACTGTTAATGTTGATAGAGATTGTGAATCTTTATCATTACATGTTCTAGACACTGGATCACATGGTGAAACTTCTGTACTACAGAGTCCTGAGTCAATCTGGAGCTCCATGCCTTGTCTATATTCTTGAGACACACTATCTGTGATATTGCTGCCATCTAATTCTAACCCTGAGTCACTACTGCTTACTACATTACTGCAATTAATATCAAGTTTAAGTTCTGTTTCCGTGGGTGGTACATATTCATTTTCCTGAGACAAATTTGACGGACTGACTCTCTTTTCTGTAACTGGGGCAGAGTCTGGGAAGGCTGCCCAGTTCTCCGATTCACTGTGTCCTGATACATTATGGTCTGCTCCCATGAAGTTCCCAAAGTCGGCATCCCAATCATCACCACCGTCCTCTTCAAAGGGTGGAGGGGATGCCGACACCATGGGAATTACACCTGACATCTTAGGAATGTTATTCCTGTTGAATATTCCCCACAAGTTGCTTATTGTAAGTCCATGATAAAACACAGTGATATCTGCAAAAAGAACACACAATTTAGAGCAATCAGTTAAATCCACAGGTCTATCTTTCCTGCACACTACACTTTACAAGCTGCTTAACAGCTGTTCAAAACACCTGCCCAATCTGACACCGATGCAGATAATACGCGTAAATATGTCTACAGAACGATTAATGCTGATATATCAATGGCTTACGGCGATGAGCAATAGGCCATATCTTTCAACATTATGCAAAATATATGTAGAATTTCGTAAAAGTACCGAGAAAAGCAAATCAGGAACACTTACCTCACCCCTCAATATTTTGTCTGTATTTTGACAACTCCCATCATGCACACGTACTTCCTAATCTTGGCTAGATAATTTGTACAAAAAAATAGTCGTACAATTGTCATTCCATTATAGCACACGTGGGCACTAGAAGTTAAAATAAAAATAAAGTTTGTGTGTGTATTTAAAAAGGTCCTTTTTATACACACACGAACTTCACATTAACTTCCAATGCCCGAGATAGCATACAAGCATTATCATGTGTGAGGTTCAAAGCAAGACTGAAATATAATCGAGATGTTGAGCACTTTACATGGACGTGCAAATGCGCACTTGTTTCGAATCAGCGTGACATGTGCATACATTACAAAAAACACGTGAAGCTCACACTCCTTGGTAAAATTTCTGAAGTGTTATAAATAATCTTTAATTTTTGCATAATTAACTTCTCTATTTTCCATAATAGCAAACATATTCACATTTGCGTCCAAGGGGTCGTAACATAAAGGGTACTTAAGTCTAAGACCATGCTTAAGTAGGACTTAAGTACAGTCTTAAACTTAAGTCCGTAACTAGAAACGTGCTAAGATTAGACAATCTTAGCAAAACTTAGGCGGTCGGTAGAGGTGACTTAAGTATGTCTTAACTTTCTTAAACATATATTTAGAACTATTTAAGGTTGACTATCTATGTTAAAACATTCCTCTGTTTATATTACGCATTAAAAAAAATAATTTTCTATATTTAATATACTGGTATAAGAATTTTAGTTTTCGTCGGGGGGGGGGGTATTCATCACTAATTACAATATCACTCTCTAAATGACATATATACATGTAAATGCAAAATATTATTTTTGGGATACGTTTGAAATATTAGTGGGACCTAGGTTATAAACACTAATCTTTATAAGTATATTGTATAATCTATATACAGGCCCGTAGGAATCAATTTCAGTTTGCGAGAGGGAACAAAACTTAACAGAAATTGAAAAGCTAAAATAAAAGTTCATCAGACGTTATTTTTTAAGGGACACAACTAAAAATTATTTTTCTTTTAGAATAAACTGGCATTTAATATTATATTAAGGGACGATTGTAAATCAGCCTCGTTTCGTTTCTATTTGAAAAGTATAAACTGGCAAAATTATTGGGGGGGGGGGGGGGTCGTTTGCGGGCCTGATATATGCTGCGATGTATATTGAGGAGGCAAAGCTATCAAGTCACTCAGCTAGAATTTCTTCCTAATGCTTTAAACTTAGATTTATACATGTATGGCTATATATATATATACTGGGAATTGAATAAAAAAAAACCCACAACAAGTAAAGGAAAGACAAGAAGAGGAAAAATATAATTTTCGATTAGTGATGGGAAATCAGGATTTTTCATAATCGATTATCAGAATAATCGGATGCACTATAATCGATTAAAAATCAATCAATTTCAAATATTAAATTTGTTCATTTTTGAATGAAGAATAAATTGGTTAGACATTCTGGAGTGATTTCTAGAGTACATTTTTAAAATATTTTGTATCATTGGATTCATTTATTAGATTATTTTTTTTAGGATTTAGTCAAATTCAAATAAGAATGAATCAAGAATCAAAGGAATAATTTCCTTTTACCTAATATTTTAAGTAATCGATTATCAAATTTATAATCGATTATCTATAATCGAGGACCATTTCCATGGATTGGATAATCGATTTAATCGGTACATCACTAGGCCTATTCACCATGGGAAAATTTAAATTCTTAATTCTATTTTTTATATCGTTTTAAATTAAATGAGGAAACTAGAAGAATATCTAGTAAAAGACACTGTGCGACACTGCCCTAGGAGTTGCCGTTTTCGTAATTGTCGGAAGTCATCAGTTTTCTGATATCCATTAATATATGAGATGTTTCGATCTTGCAATGCATGATATCAGAAAACTGATGACTTAATTACGATATCAGAAAATAGATTTTATTAATATCAGACTGAAAATAAACATGATTTCGTGATATCAAAAATTCTATTATGATAATAACAAAGGTAATCAGCTGTTTTGATTTTTTATATAAATTGTTTTTATTAGTTTGTATATATATTTATCTCAGTACCTATCTATATACCGCTGTAATGGTTTGGGATATCGGCCTGCGATGCTCAGTTGGTAGAGCTGCAAAAGCACCTGACAAGTGACGCAGGGGTACCGGATTCGATTCCAGGTCCAGCCAAACATCCTTTCCCTTTACATAACTTGGTGCCGTTGATCACCCTAGCTAAATTGTACTGAAGTTGCTGGTGAAAGTCTTGCCAGGGGCAAATACGAACTTGCATCATTGGGTTGTGTCCTCGAGGGCGAAGGCAATTTAAGCAAGGATCGAGGAATGTAATGGTTTGGGTCGTAGATTCTGTTACACCACCATTAAGGCTGCATGATGAATATATGTAACATTAAAGTTATTTCTTCCTATGTTCCTCATATGTTGTGATTTTTTTTTAAAAAAAAATGAAATATTCATTTTCATTACAATTGTTTTCTGATATTAAAAAAAAAAAAACATTAATTTTCTGATATAAGAAAAAAATGATACAAGAATTCATTTTTAATGTTTATCTCTGATATCAAAAATTTGATATTTTTGATATAAAAAAAATCATGATCATTTTCTGAGATATGTCAGAAAATCAAGTTGATTTTTTTGATATCAGAAAATGATTTTCTGATACATGTATAATGTGTACCAAAATTTTTAATTCTTGTAATAAGAATTAGTTTTTGCTAACAATTGTTTTTAAAGGCCTATCAAGAATTCAAATTCCTTGATATCAGGAATATTCTCTTTCTCTCTTTCTATATCAGAAGATACTGAACTAAATGACGTACAACTTAACAATACCTACTTTCGTTTTAGAAAATATGGCGGCTGCAGCTGGGAGAGTTGATGAACTGGTGAAGGATTATTTATTATTCAGAGGATGTACAGCATCTCTTAGAAATTTTGAGTACGAACTGAAGACTGATAAAGATAAAGGTTTACGAGCTGACAAGATTTTAGAGCAGTTTCAGCAGTATATAGGGAGCTACAACCTTCACAGTCTCAGGGATTTCTGGGCTCACCTCAACAGTCGGCTCTTCTGTCGCTTAGAACAACGATATATTCAAAGCGTACGGAAGTTAGAAGTAGGTCTTTTGAAGCTTTATGTTGTTAATGCAGCGCATAACAACAGAGCTGATAAAGTGACTGATTTTTTCGAGAAGATGACCAACGATTTGCATCAGGTTCCGGAATTTAAGGAATGGTTTTGTTTCCCATTTATTAAGAGCCCGGAAGAGAACAGTCATTTTTCAATGTATTTTACAAAACAATGGCAGGATATGTTTTATTTATCACTTTTCAACTTCCTTAGTGTGATTATAAATGTAATGCCTGCACCTATTCTATTGAACTTTGATATTGAACATAAAAGAATGAAAAACTTGCAGGAAGAAAATGATATGTTGAAAACACAGTTACTCTCTGCAGACAAAGCTCCAGTTCTAAAAACACCTAATATAAGAGAGAAGGAGTCTATTAGGAGGGGTGCAAATTCTGTAGAATTGCACTATGACTTCAGTGACCTTGGTGACGATACTTTGGAGATACAGAAGCAGCAGAAATCTGGTCGAAAATTTCCTTTCTCAGCATCACCGTTACTTAATCGAAAGCCAAATTTTCTCTCATCAAATAATAAGAGTCCAACAAAGTCACAGGGCAAGGCAAAAGCAGGTAAACCACAATCTGTTAACATTCAAAAGAAACATCCGAGTTCAGGGTCACCGTCCAACCAAGGTCATCCAGAGTTCACAAATAGGTCACTCAGTAGCGGTGGAGCAGTTCAAAAAGCTGGTCATCCTGAGACCACCTCAAGATCATTGAGCTTACAGGGTAAATCAACTGCATTTGAAACTTCAAGGCAAAAATCAGTGCCAAACCAAGGGAAGCAATCCAGTGGAACAAGAGTTGATGATTTGTATACTACTGTAACAGCTGAGAATGTACCTGGACCAAAACAAGAAAATCCTGACCAAGACAAGACTAAAAAAAATCAAGGAGATTCCTCAGGGGAAGTAACTGTAAACACGAAGTCAAGCTATGTGAACAGTGAAACTATAGAAGATTTAACACCAGTGAATGATAACAATAATTTTGCTGGGATCACAAGAAATCAAAGTGTAATTGATAAGTCAGACTATCTACAAGAAGGTCAGGGTCCTTTTCTCCTCCTTAGTCAAGAAGATTACAAAGAGCACCACTCAGCCATATCTTATGCTCGATTCAGCAATATGGGTCAGTATGTAGGTAGTGTTGACATCGATGGAATTGTCAAAATTTGGTCTTGGAGCCCACAACCTACAACATGTGCCACAGTGATGTCAAAGTCTGCATTTCTTTCACTGGATTGGGCAAGCAAACAGGACCGTTGGTTACTGCTAGGCAATCGCTCTGGCAATATCAGGCTTTTCGACGTTAAAGAGATGAAATCATTTTATGAAGCATCAGCAGATTCCAGTTATCCTCGTATAGTGAATCTGAGTTCTAGTCCCTCAAGTGGAGCATTTATATGTTCTGCCACTGTCAACAGGGCTCGCTCAGGATCAGGGAGTGACATCGGACCATCATCATCCATAGCTCGGGTTGGAAAACTAACTCTTTGGGAGCTGCGCACCATGAAACAGACCAAGCATCTTGAGATACAGCCAGGCCCTGTGGCCATCAACTGCTGCTCATTCAACCACAATGGTCATCTCTTGTTGACTGGTGGAGTTGATGGAGCTATTCGACTTTTTGACATGCAGCAACACAAAGTGATCTCGCAGTGGGAGGCCCATTCAGGGGAGGTACAGAACCTTCAGTTTAGCTCAGATGAGACAAGCTGTTACAGCATAGGAACAGATGGAAAGGTAAAGTTTACAGACTACATTACTAGTGATTTACAGTAATTTACTGTAAATCACTAATTTTTTGCATCACTTTATTTTAACAAGGTACTTGTTTGTTATTTACCACGTTTATAAGCGAGATTTATTTTTGCAAGATACTTGTGTTTTATTTATAAGTGAGACAAAATTTTCACTAATTTCGATTATTGTCTGTATAATTTTTATTGAAACAAATATACTCATTGAATGATATTTTCATGAGTAGACAGTCTTGTGTAACTGCGTGAGAATAGAGTTCTTTTAAATAAAAAGTGATTTATAGTATTAATTCATCATCATTTACATGTACTTTAGAAAAGGCTGAGAAAGTGTCATTTGATTCATGATTAATACTGGTTATTAAATGAATGGCTTTCACAATTCCAATTAGTAGCCTTCTGAATGGCAAAAAAATTAATAATATTAATAAGCTGTAGATTTATCATTTATCAAAACAACCAGATGTTTAAATTTTGAGAATTTACTAATTGCCTTTTTTAAGTTGATAAATAGAAGTTAAATTTAAAAAACATTGCTATTACTAATTAATTCAATTTTTATAAAAGTTTTTTTTTTTGTTTCAGTTGATACAATGGAGTATGCATAAGCCTGGGACCCTGAATGACCTGCCTGTTCATAGTGGTGCCTCCCTTCCATTCCTGTCCGGCATGTCAGGAGGGCTAAAAGAAATGCCCCGGGGTCAGATCTTTTCTTTGGATGCCGAGGGAGAGTACATGATGACCTGTGATAAGACCAAAGGAAGCATGTACCAAGTCAAGGACAAATCATTGTCACATGTCATGGATATTCAGGGTCATGGGTCATTTCTCACCACGGTTGACTGGTCACCTAATATGGACACAAAGGTTTGCTTAACAGGGTCCATGGATGGAACCATCAAAATATCAACTCTCTTATCTACACATATGTAAAATCATTTTGAAACTAAGACGTATGTATTTATTTAAAATTTTAGTATAATTAATCATTCTGAATCATTCCTTGTTATGATTACTGGGTAATTTTGTGTCTGTTGAAGAAGAGAATGTGGAATATGGCCGATGATAAAAATAGGATATTTTCCTCAGAAAATATTTTGTTGTTTCAGATATGTACCAGATTATTATGTAAATTCTTTCATTCATCTGATTTATTTTTTGGGACCACCACACTTTGCATCTAATTGTATATTACAAACATCAAATTTTCCTCTTTTTTCATTCTCTTCCAAAGTACTTGCTATTTTATTTGAGACTGTATACTGTTTGATGAATAATGTCAACATGTTACAGGTGTTGTTTTTGAAATCAGGTGAACTACAGTATTACATACAGACATTTCTCAGTGTGGAAGCAAATTATTTTTCACAGATGAAGCCAACTTTACTCCTACAAGTAAGAGCCTCGGTTAATGTCCCTACGCTCCTTATATACCTCGCGGCGCCAAGTCAAAAGTATCTCGCTGTGAACCTCTAGCATGCTGGAGTAAGGCCAACTTTAAATAATGTTTGTTTGCCCTCTTCTGACTCAGAATTTAAAAAAATGGGTTGGTAGGTGGGTGAGAATTCTTTTTCCTAAAAATTTTCAACAGCAATGATGAATTTTCCTAATCTATTTTCTGGAATGCATAAAAAAAGTTATTGCTTCTTAGAGGTTAATAAAAGTTTTGAGTTGGGCCATTTTTAGGCAGTTGGTCAGGAGAGGGCAATCAAAAAAAAAAAAAAAAAAAAATTAAAAATGGCCTGAATGTACATATTTTTTCCTGTTGACACAGCTGGGTTCAAATCCTGGTCTGATCCATAGCATTTTCTCCCTGTTGTACAAGATTACACAAAAAATTCTTGACAAAAAACTTAAAATATTGTGCAATAAATATATGTTAATATTGTGCTGATCAATAGTTCATGTGAGCAAGAAAAACTTAGTAAATGGCCCAGTCAGTTAGTTAGTGTCAGAATCCTACAAACTTTGTACAGTTGAACTTCCATATCTCAAACTTGATATCTTGAATACACAGGCACTTGTTTCATATATGGGGTCACCCACTTCTTTTTCTTTCCATAAGGTCATGAAGGTACAATGTATCTAACTCAATTTCAGGCACATGCACTTCAAGCTCGTATTTTATTAATATACCATTATTCAATCAATTATTATACCATTATTAATCATTAACCTACTTTAACATGACATCGTTTGCTTCAAGAGACTTTTTTTCTTGTCAAATAAATCCTTTCAGATATCCCTCATAGAGCCTCTTTATTATTAACCACTCATTTACTCTTCGGAAATTACCTCAATACATTTAAAGACTCTAGATGAGATACAGGAACTTCCAGTTAGGGTTGCAGTAGGGCTGTCACGGTTCCAAAATTTTTCGGGTCGGGTCGGTTCTGTAAATTTTCGGTTCGGTTTCGGGTTTTTCGGGTCGGGTATTTACATCTATTTTAAACCTTAATTTCATGAATTTAACTTGAAAAATCTTTATTTGTTACATTAAATTTACATTGAAAACAAGTTTTAACCATGCGAACGTCTAGACACCGGTGACTTGGCCTACTATTAGCCACAACCTGACCATTCCTGCTCGTTTTGATAATTATCTAATACTTCCGTGACAAGTGTTTTGTCATGGAATGAAGTAGATTTCAGTTTTGATGTTTATTTATCACTGTTATCGTCATCATTCCTTTGATTTCGACGCCATTTTTTGTATGGAACAGACTCTAATATATAAACCAGACCCGAACCGAAATCCGGAAAAATGGAACCGGAACCGAACAACTTGGACCGCGGTTCTCGGTTATTTCGGGTACTCGTGACAGCCCTAGGTTGCAGTGTACAATAAAACCAAAGACCCCAGAATGGAAAACTTGGTAGTCTCTGGTTTTATCCTTAGCTACATTTATTATCCCAACAAATTTATTTAGTTTAGTTAGAGTTGAGATTAGGTACCTTGTGGAAAGAAAAAGAAGGGGTGCCCCATATGCAAAACAAGTGCTTGAGAATACCATGATGGAAATGTCAAAGTGAGTTGGAAGTTCCAACCACCTTTCCTTGAAGTATTTCAATCTCAATGTCTAGAATCCCCAAATATCTCAATTTTTTTTCTTGGCCCCACCAAATGAGATAACGAGGTTTGAATGTATTATAAACAGTCGGTGGTTGATGAAGATCCAATCCCTTTTAAGTGGAGTTGACCACTGATACATGTAGACGGCTTCAAAATAGCGACACAGGAGGTATAATACCTTCAAATGTGGACCAATGCAGTTATAAAATGTGCAATATTAGAGTATACAGAATTAGTTGTATGTTGGGCAATGAATGTAGTATGTGGAGTTTATGTGGTATAAAATGCTACTGATCATATATTCTGCCCTTAAAAGTGCAGTTTCATAGTTAAAATAGAAAATTTATTTTGTTATGATTGAAGTTCTATTTGGAGTGATTTGTAAAATGTATTGTAATAAGGACTTTGTTAATGGATATAATTATATATGTCTTTGCCTCACTTAGGGGATAGATGCTCTACACGATATGCCCCTGTACATCTGTACTTTTACAAAAAAATAGACTAAAGAGGTAAATGGGTATATCTGTAAGGTGTCTGATACCTGTGTTGCCACTGACTACATATATATTACAGGCTGCCCAGTGGTCATAAAATTCCTTGAAAAAATTCAATATTTTTTTTTTTTTTTTGGCCAATATTCTTTAAATAGTGCTGAATTCAAGGGAAAATCCTAAAAAAAAAAAGCCCTTAATTATTTTTCATGTCAATTCCTTTACATATTTATTATATATTTATCACAGGCACCTGATGTTACTTATTTTTCTTGTAATAGAAAAATAGCTAATGAATTATTAGGTAAGGGGCATGTATTTTTTTTTATTAAAAGAAAAATAGGTAATGTCAGGTGGCTGCAATATTTATATATTTCTACTCCAGCAATTTTGAAAATGCATTTATACAGAATGTGTTTTAATGTAGTCTGCAGTTCTTAATCCAATTATGGCAGTAATTATTAAATCATGTCAAGATGCCTACTTAAAGTATTTCTTTGCAAGTTTCTTTATTGTCAAATTTGTGAAGGTTAATTCATTAAAATGTCTAAAACTGCCAATATTTAGTTATAAAATTCTTAATTTTGACCCAAAATTAGCCCCAAAACTCTTAGCCCTCAAATTTTTCCTTTTTTTTTTTTGGTCAAAGAGTGCATGCTGGACAGCCTGATATTACCGCTAGGGTAAATATTGAAATTTATTGTACTTACTTATTTGAATGTCGAAAATTGTATATATCATTCATATCAATCTAAAACATCTAAAAAGTTGAATTTGAACTGACTCAATGCCAAAGTAATGCAGCTGCAGTGTGTGCATTTATCATACAAGCACAATCATCTTTATTGTTTTATTTATGATTTGTTTGTAAATTATTTATTTGGTAATAAACATCACAAATTTATTACACATTTACGTTGTACATGGGTAAACCTTTATTTTTGTCAACCTTTGTGTTTTCTTAAAATGTTTGCAAACAAAGCTTAGCTGGTGTGACTTTTCCTCTACATGCTATGAGGCAGGAAGCATAATCTACAGCTGCTATTGATGAATCCCTTCCCTCTTCTCTTTTCAGGGGGATCCATAACTCTGAATTTACAAAAATCAATAACCACGGGGACAATTTGAACCAAACTTGCTACAAACAACTTTGAATGAAGGAAATTCATATTTGCCACACCCTCTAAAGGGGGGGGGGGGTAAGGAAGAGTGAAATTTGGTGGCATCTTGTAACATCTTCTCAAAAACCACTGGCCTGAAATGACTCCAGCAAAAACTACCTTCATTAATAAGTGAAGATTTAAAATGTTCAAATCAATAGGGAATAGTCATACTAGTAAATTTCCATTCTTTATTTGTAAAGAAAACAAAAATGCCAATGGATTTTAATTACACGTAAAATAATACAGCTTAAGAAATAATAACACGGTTATATATTGTATGTATAATTGAGAAAAAATATAGCATTGTAAAAATTTTAGAATTAAAATATATTTTATTAAAATTAAAATAATACAGATACAGTAAAAACATAATAAATTGTATATAAACAGCGAGTTAGACTGAATTGTCTTTAAACCTTTCCTTCAATCATAATTGTGAATTGTATGTAAAAACTGGTCAGGGTTACTATTATGTAACCCAGTTTTGACCAGTAGTATTAATTAAAACATTCGACAAAACGATTTATACTGCCATGGATGTTGTCATACAAATTTGTGTTTGTTGACTCGAACCCCCGTTTGGCCTTCGGTCAAAGTGCAGTCGTACTCAATCCAGGTGAGACAAGAGCCCCACCTACAATGTTCAATCTCACTCTGACTGTAAAACTTACACTGAAGTAAGACTGTTAATGTGGCACCACCATCAAACTGAAAAAGTCGAAAGAAATATATGCAAAAGTTGTTAAAAAGAAGAAAAAAAAAGAGGTCAAGGTGACTGAAAAGATTAGCATCCCCTGACAACATGATATCATTCAAAGAACATTTTCTCGAACAATGAACATATAGCCTATATGGCGTAGTTACAGTATCATAAATACAATTACTTTTCTTGACTTTTAGCAATGGAATCAATAGGCTTCTTCCACTTGGTACCATGCATCTTTTTTTCAGGCACTAAGAAATTGAGTGATACTCTTTAGTCCGTATTCATATATTAGTTTACACCTATCTCTATCTTGATCTTTGGATCTTGGAATTCTAAGGTCTTTCGTCCAGCCACCTTGCATTTCTGAAGCAAGCAACAAGTCTAAAAGGACTAACGGTATTATTTAATTTATGCCCCTTTCTTAGCTCAAACTTATTACTATTGACCTTGAGGTTTTACCTTTTGACCCTCAGATGCATCTAGGCATGTTATTCTGGCAACGTACCATAACTGTAGTAAGTTGAGACTGAAAGGTCTATTGTTTCTTGAAATATCGTGTTAAAAACGTTGCTACAATTTTATGCTCTCTTATACTGACCTTTGACGTTTTTACCTTAAAATGAGTAGCTAGTGCCCCCTGCTAACCTACCACTACTGTCGCAAGTACTGTTCACAGTAACTCAGTCGGTAGAGCGCTCGCTCCGTGATCAGGAGGTCGTGAGTTCGAATTTCGGCCGCGACTGACCTAAGTCGATAAAAAATAGGTAGCAACTGTTCCTTCGCCATGCGCTCGGCTTTTTGAAGCGAAAGTTGCGGGTCCTTCGGATGAGACCTTAAAAACAGAGGCCCCGTGTCACGACAGGCGTTGGCACGATAAAGATCCCTCACTGCTCAATGGCCCTGAGTGCCGAGTAAAGGTCAAAATTTGAAGCCCTTCACCGGTATATGGTGACGTCTCTATATGAGTGAAAAATTCTCGAATGAGACTTAAAACAACATTCAATCAATCAATCTGTCGCAAGTTTCGGACTAAACGTTCAATTAGTACCAGAAATTCATTTCTGTAGCAAGTTTCGGACTAAACGTTCTATTAGTACTAGAAATACCGTGTCTGCAAAGTTACTACAGTTTCCTGGTATCTTTGACCATGAACTATGACCTTTTGACCATCAAATGGATAGGCTTGTAGCCCTGGACACGTACCACCTCTGTAGCAAATTTGAGACTGGAATTATAATTAAATAGCAAATTTGAGTCTGGAATTATAATTAAATAGAACTCCATATATCCTTTCACAACCTTTTAAGGAGGGTATAACAAAAATAAAAAGTGATATGCTTCCTTGTATACAACACATCCATTACATTTTCCCGTAGAAAATACAACGGGAATTACTAGTACATATTTGTTGGTTAATATGCTTGAACCGTCTTTTAATAGAGTTTTGTGCAACAAAAATTGAGGGAAAAGTTCACAAAAGCTCACCATTAGCGCTATCGCAATGTCCTTCCGCCCTTTCCTCTTTTCCGCGGCGTACCCAGTGGTGTTAAAATTGGCGGAAAATTTTAAGGAATCATCGGAAGAGTTCGATTTGTCCCGCTTCACCTCCGTAAGTTCGCATCTTTCTCCGTGAATCATTAGGTCTCTAAAAATTGTAGAAAGGGATTAAAAACGTAAAATGGCAAAACAAAATTATAATTGATTGAATATGTCATTTCAAATTCAAAGCCTTGTTTTTGCTTTTTTCACAGAATATTAATTTAAAAACACACACACACACCCTCCAAAAACAAACAAACAAAAATGTTTTTCCAGGAACGAGAAATAATGTTTTCAGGCCCAAGACAATTATAGTGCCTCTTAGTTAAGCTTTAATCAATTTTTAGGTACCGATCAGGAAATGTTTGAAAGCAGAAAATAAATAAATAAATAAAGTTACATTTAAAAAATTAAAAAAATTAAATTAAATAAAATAATAATGATAATAAATAAATAAATAAAACAACCTGCCTATACCTTAAAAACCTATTTTGTGTTTGGTTGGAGGGGGCACACATTTTTAAGTCAATTTCTTGAAATACATGGCTCTTCTTACCGTTTCAAGAGGGGTCCGTGTTTTCTAAAGGGGAGAGGGGATTCAAGGTCATTTTTTCCCGTTATTTTTACATAGAAATGTAATAACTCTGAAAATTCCAGGGAAAGGGGATGCGGACCCCCTCTAGATCAGACCCTGAATCCCATTATAATACACATTTCAGTTTTCACCACTATATAATATCAATGGAATAAAAGTATCCGAGTCTCTCTAGAATACGTATTGAAACTTTTTCAATCATTAATCCCGTTTTCAGTTTCATTTATTACATTTTTGGTTATATAAAACTTTCCTGTTTGACAAACATGATGCGTAGTTTAAAGGTCATTGTAGCAGACAATACACAGTTTCCCCATCGTATTTATATTATAAAAAAAAAAATGCTCTGTTTGCTGTCGAATTTCAACCTTAAGTTGAATGGGTCAAGAGAGATTACGTGTCTTGAATTTAAATTAAAATAACATTCTCATGATCGATATATCTTCAAGGTTCAAAATAATGAACCCTACTCAGGCTACATATATGGTGTACAACTTTGAAACACTTGAATAATTTTCATGTAGTCCAAGACGTGGTGTGTGATATGATCTTGTGAGGATTACAGACGGAAAGTATATTCTACTTTAGAGGTCAAATTAGATTCACGGGTCTCTTTATACATTACTCGGTATATATATACATGTTCATGTGTATACATCAATCTGAGACTGGCTAATCTACGAATTATGACTTCAATACGATAAAGGCATCCCAAGTTATTTGTCATTATAAATGAAAGTCTGAAAGAAATGGAATATTAAACAAAGGGAAGTTGAATTAAAGCATTAAATTCCAGTGGCTTGAAGAACCTTGCAAAAACTTTTCCTTCTTTTAAAATAGATTGCGAGTCGGTGGTGATTGAACGGGGTCTTAAATCTTCCCGGTCCGTTCTAAAGTAGCAAATGTATTTTTATTTGTACAATAAATCGATTTAATTCAAATATGAAAAGGTCCTTGGTATTTCAAAGGCTATCGTGTTATATGCAACATTGCCTCTGAAAGAAAACTAGGTTAGGACACATGCACTTGATGAATACTTCTTTATCACATATTGAAAATTCATCAACTAGCAAGAGATAAAATGACGATAATAAATAAATAAGCATAAGATATGCATGAGCAGTGGATACGATATTTGGTTTGAACTGCAAGGGACAATTAAACTTTATGATACTATATAATACTTCAGATAAATCACAAAGATCCTTATGGCCCCTCCCCTTTTCTGAGGACTCACCTGAGTTTTCTGTTGGATTGTACGGTGACGACATAGTCCGTGTTTTGGTTCAGTTTGAGGGTATGGGGTTGTGTGAACCTCTCCCCATCGTGTTTATAGAACACCCCACCGCCGCCCTCCTTCCGTTTGAGAGAGAGAAGAACTTTAAACTGACTGGCCATTTACCGTCGCTGTATTCCTCACATGGCCCTGCCCCAAACAAGATTCACTTCGGAGGAGACAGACTCGTGATAGATTTACAGCTTTATTCAATGGTCTGCTATGTCGCTAAGTACTACGATCGATGTGCGCCCTTAAACAGCCAGGACTTGCTTCACAACATGCAGGTTCATTTTAGGCCTAGTTATATTTTGTAGCTCAAGTAAAGACAAGCACGCGAGGTTTTTTTTTATACTTGTATAATCGTTGAGCTAACAGTACATCGAATTTTTTTTTTAAATTTATAATGTTGGTTTTAATCTCTTCGTTGAAGGGGGGGGGGGTTCACCCTTTCATTTTATTTCTGATGGAAATCCCTGACATATGAAAAATTCTCTTCTGTATTGTTCTTCTGTTAATTTATACTTTAATTGTGTGCATTCAAGGGCTCAGAATTTATTTTTCTTAATATAGTATAACTATAGTGTGTTAATTAATTGTACATGCAAGCAAAAGGATGTATAAACCGACAATAACGGAAATGTCGTCTATTACAATAGAAGGTGTAAAGTAACAATGCTTAGTATGCATATTGAAGTTCATACATCTTCAAGGATACGTTTAGTAAATTGTCCATTTGAGTGTCTTTCACTCGACCTGTACGTCAAGAAACGTTTGAAGCATCTTCGCAAGCCTAAGGGTTTTCAGTCCGCATCGCTCTCCACCTGGAGAGCGATGCGGACCGGCCGCAAAACCCTTGGTTTGCGAAGATGTGTTTGAAGGTGACATTAGGTATTTTACCCGTACTCCTCGGAATCAAATCTATATTTCTGAAAATAAAAGTAAAATATATACCAATATCATCATATTATAACACACACACCCACTCTTTCCATGATCCAGCTTGGGATATGTTTCTTCCTGAAAGTTCTACAATTCAGGGAAAATTTGTTGAATTGTGTGTGTGTATGTCTATGGGTCGTGTATGACCGGGCCTTTAGTATTGGAACCATTGATTTAGAGAAAATTCAAATTTAGCCTATCCTGTCCTTCACCTAAAAGTATGCTATCTCTAAGGTTAAGATCTCAATGAGATGTTAAAATATGTGGAGCAAAGCAATTTTAGACAACCTTCCATTCTACAAAGCATACGGTTATCAAAGCTGTTCAGGGACAATTTTGGCGTCTAAGGGCCGGTACACACGGTAAAGCTTGCCTTATACGTTTTGCAGGACGTAGGGCTCTCGTGTCCACACGTTCAGGGAAGACTTACAAGATTATATACAACATTTCCATAAATCTCACGTGTTTCCAGCATAAATAGTGCATTCAGTCATTAAAATAGAAGAATAGATTATTAGGCTTTGTAATAATTATACCAACAAGTACATTCACACTTCTTAAAAAAAGAGGAAGAGGTTGAACAGAAGCATTTGTGGATATTTTCATTAGCTTAATTATTCGAAAATACTTTGTTTTCACTTCAATCTACCCACCTGTATGGTTTGATAAAAATAGAATGACATTCATGGTTTTCATTGGTTGAGAAGAAAGTTTCAGCTAAGTCTTGTATTAAGAAATAGAACAGTGTTCTATTTGTAAGTCAGACTTGTAAGGCTAAAAACCGTGTATTAAGGGTGTACACACGGTAAGGCACTAACTTAAGTTCTATGACTTACAAGGCAAGCCTTATCGTGTGTACCGGCCCTAAGACCATCCAAGTATTTCAGATGATGTACCGGTATTTTAGGGCAAACGTTAAGGTTTGTTGCCATTAAAAGAGGAGTTGGTGAACTCAAATACTATACAGAATGTGATACTAAAAGACATCTTGCATACAGTGACACCAAGAAACATAAAACCTTATAATCTGGAAACCTTATTGTGTTGTATCCCGTGCAAAAATATAGGTTACGATGATCTCATTTGGTATTTTATGCATATTATTGCCTTAGAAACATACTCGCTACTCTGGGCACCACCAACTCCTCATCAGTGAATGCATCACATCGTCTCAACCCACGTGCGGTCCGGAGTCGGCTTTTAGTTCTCTTCTACCAGAATCGGTGAGGATCGTATATTTTGGCCGTGGTTTGCGACGAGGAATGCATCTTAAACGTTTGTTGATCAAAATTAATTTTCAATTTTACAGATCAATACTCATCATTAATATTTTCATCATTACGGGCTATCATTTCAAACCAAACATTCAAATCAAGTTCAAAAGTTGTGGTACAAACGATACACTTCATCCCCAGTGCCCTGTTCTACAGATATACCACGTAAAATCGCACCAGGAAACCAAGAACAAGGTCAACAAGCCTAAATTAGAAATTAAAGGACTAGGTACTTTGAAGTTTTTACCAGGTTTTTACGACTTCTAAAGTTTATCAGTCTCTTATTTTACTTTCCATGTCAAACCTTTTTGCTATATTAGTTTGTTAAAACATTTTGTACATCACATTCTGTATAATTTCTTGAAAAAATGACACAAAATTTACTATATATAACTTTTAAACTCTTTATTTTATAAAAAAGAAAAGAAAAGAATATATAGGTCTTTAAAAATATATGAAATAAAAACAGAGACTTGGATTAACAGCGTGAAAGTGAACACAGAGCAGAAAATTTGTCCAAACAACCAACCACCAGGAAATTCAACAGAACAAGCTGCTCACAACATGATTTAGTACATATGTACTTAGGCACTATAACTGTTCATTACAGCTTTCTTCTGTATCAATTAGGTATCTTTTATAAAAAAAAATATATATCAAGGTTACTAGAGAACAAAGAAGTCTGCAGTTTAAAATGATTATCAAATAACTTTTTATACATAATGGCTCTTTATACAGTTACATAATGCACAACACTCCAAACCCCTGTTCTCATACATAATTGTTGGTTTACTGTTGGATAGAAAAAAATATTCTGCCCAAAAATATCTTGCATTACAAAACATTTATGTACATCATACATGATACAGTTAGCCAGTAATATTGGTGTGCCATTTTGTAGAGGATTGTTTAACATCTCATACTAAAAATAGCTGAGCAATTATTAATGGAAGAAGGAATGACTAGGAGATAGACTAATACTGTGTGCTAAAAATATAAACTATGCACACTCTTAAAATTGAACACTTTTCCTTTGCAAATTAAGAACAAATTAATGCAATTTTTCACTTTATGATATCCTCTATGATAAAAAAAAATTCAGTTATTTAAAGCCTGAAACATGCCCTAATACTAGTGTACTAATGCTGTAAACATATATATAAAAAAATAAATGAAAAATACAGAAACAATTAATTACATTGACGACTGTAGTACTATTAAAATACCTGGTACTGTAAATTCCTAAATATATGCGAGGAATAAATTAACTCCTAGTTTCACGAAAAGCACCACTCGTAAAAAATAAAATTGTGAGCTTTTATTTTTATGGTGCTTAAATGTATGTAAAATCTCTAAATCAGTTGTCCACTCGCGAATTATTGTTCTAGCAAATTGAGGTCCTATGGCCATTTCATGATATTAAATACTTGTGTAAAATAAGGAATCTACAGTAATGCCTCTAGGTAGATAAATCTGTATACACTGCTACTTAACTGTTTATAATCTATTCATAAGGACACCATTTTGTTTGTAGGTCTCAATGTAAATATGTTTTAAGTCTTTTATGTTAAAGATTTTCTATCATAATGACAGTGTGTCTCACAACACATATACATGTACCAGTATTAGTCTAGAGGAGATTTGAATGTGGGGTGCTGGTGGGGATGGGGGGAGGGGTCAGCTTTTGTGATTGTGCTTTTAATGTATACACAAATAATACAGTTGAACTTCAGTATCTCGAACATGGATATCTCGAATACCATGGATATGTCGAAGTAATTTTGAAGTCCCAACTGCATATTACTTAAGTACTTTACCCTGGATATCTCAAATCCTCAGTTATCTCGAAGTATTTTCTTGGTCCCTTCGAGTTTGACATAACGAGGTTTGACTGTATTACCATACTTAAATTAATTAATATATCATAACAGTCTACAGCAGCGGAATAATTAGACAGGAAAAAATAATTTAGAATTACATGTAAATACAACACAAAAAAATACAACACATGCATTACATTTGTAATGATAAGAAATTACAAAATTATGGGCATGATAAAAATACATTAACAATAACGCTGAAATTAGATTGCAGGTAGCTGCAGAACTGTAGCTCTCCAAAAAATATATATTGACAGACCAAAGAGCTCTAGTACCACCCACTGAAAACAGTGTATTTACTGCACACAAAAAGTTGTGCTGGTTTCTGGATTAATTTCTCAGCTGCAAAAAAGCTCAATTAATGAAAAAAATTCCTTATCCCTCTCCTTCTGGATGAAGCATGTTGCAAAAATTGTCTTACCACTCAATATGGCAGTATTAATAGCTGAAAATTTTCAGTAGCCTCAATTTCAGGTCCAGGAGGGCTAAACTGTTATGAGCAATGTCTTGTTCTGGAAATAGTAAAAGAATATATGTATATGCTAGGAACACAAGGTTAATAATATTTTGAGATGGCAGTTTAAATATATGAAGAAATAAATAAAAAAAAACAGCACACCTTTTTGTGCACAATAAATACACAATTTCTTCAATGGGTGGCACTGTAGCTCACTAGTCATCCATCTGAATTTTTTTTGACCAGTGAAATACAGATCTGCAGCTAGATTGCAGGGTGACTTGGATTTCATTTAATAAAGAGATCATAATTTGTATAGTATCACAGTTTACAGCCTGATTATGTAATCAAGGTGGGGTAAAGTTTGAAAAACTTAAATATTCAACATCAAATACTTTTAACAAAATTTACACAAATATTTATATACATGTAACTGAAATATACTTTTTGAAGTAGACTATAATCTGCTTCATATGGAAGCACTGATTCTTTACTCTGCTTCATCCTGGAGCATGGAGTATTCTACATCATACTTCTTACATTCATTTTTCTTACTCCCTGAGAAATATTTACGAGCAAAACTAAAAGTAACAACCAGAACAAGTAACAAGCCAATAAAGAAAAAAATAAGCATGAACACAGATCCTGGCCAAGCCGCATCTCTGTAATTAACCTCACTGTGGACGTCAATACCCCATACATCATCTAACAGACTGAAAGTTTTAGTGGAGTCATGTCCTATCCCTCCAACTACATACAGTTCGTTCCATGTATTGAAAGACATGGCATCTGTTCGACAGCTTGGATATCTTCCATTATCAAATTCATTGTCTGCTGAACCGTAACTTCCCGGGTCACTGGCTCTGTCAGATCCACCCATCCATGACCACATCTTATAGTCAAGGTCAAAGTACCAGAGGTCATTCAGAATGACATCTGGAACTTCATCAGAGATTGTCCTGGGGTCTGAAGAGGCCCCCTCTCCTCCAAACATCCACAAGTGCCCCTCACTATCAGTCCAATGAATTGCTCCCCTCCGACATCCTGGAATATTTTTTTCATTTGCCATGCCTTTTTTGCCATAATAACCTGCCAAACACTTATTCGGATCCCCCATTATTTTCACCCATGCATTTTTCTTGCAGTCAAAATTCCACAGATCAGTGGAAAATCCTGAATTGTGATGAGAATCCACTTTGTTTTTGGTTTGCGTGTTTCCAGAAAACATGTACAGCTGTTCATTGTGGCCAACCCAAGCTGTTGCACCACTACGACCTGCTGGGTACGTTATCTGTGGACGGATGATTCCTTTTCTGTGAAGTTCTGAGGAGAGTTTCTCTTGCCTCCAATTAAGATCAATAAGGCTGTATTCCCACATATCATCATACTGGTCCAAAGTCTCAGAAATGCCTCCAAAAAGCATCATTTTTGTCTGCATACACCACACAACAGCATCAGCTCTTGGATCAGGGGACTCTCCAATGCTCTCGTTTCTCAGATTCTTTAACATTTCTGACAATGGAAGCCACTCTTTTTTCTTGAATACAAATACCCAGGTGTCTCCAAGCACCTGTTTATCCTTATTCATCCCCCCAAACACAACAATTAGTGTCCCAGGCACCCCGCACATTGATGCATACCTCCTTGGAACAGGTGCCCTGTTCTTATTTTTGGAAGATATATCTAAACTTTCAGACCCAGGATGTTCCAAAGTCCACTTTCTTTCCCTAACATTATATTTCCATAGATCATTTTTCATGGATGGTCGTCCATTATATATACCCTTTCCGCCAAACACCCAAGTATTGAAAACATCTTCCTGCCAAAACGAACTTCCTCCCCGGCCACCAATGGAAGTCTTGGAGGGTTCCTGATTACCACGGCTATTTCCAAAGGCCCATCTAAATCTAATGCCTGAAATAAAAATTTAAAAGTTATTTTTCTTTCTTGAACTTACATGTAAGCTAGCCTTTATAAACCTCTTTATTTTTCTTCGTTGAACTTACATGTAAGCCTTTGTAAACCTCTGAAGTTCTAAATCAGACTAGCACACTGTGAACAGGTATGCTTTATGCCTTTAATGATTAACTGCATCCCTTTTGTTCTTGAAAAGAATGTTTTTAAAAAGATTTTTCCTATATATTCCTATGGGAAACTTTGAACTCATACTGTGGCTCCAACCTAGGCCTGGGGGGGGGGGGGGGCATTTGATTTAAATAAAACAGTCTTCAGAACCAATAGCCAAACTCCCTTCCTCTCTCAGACACCTCTGCAATAGGGGCATTTGTCAAGATTTTTGACATAAAATATAATATTTAAAGGAACTGTGTGCTACACTTTAATGTCTATGCTGTTGTACACTTCTTCTAAAACAAGTTTGGATAAATAAAACATCTAGAATTTATGTCAAGTAATTTTAATTTGTATATTTTTCTTTGAATTATACAAGAATTTTCATCAAGCTTTATCGTGTTTATTTAGCTATTCACAAGGTTGTCCGTAAGACCCTGGGGGCCAGGGATGGGGTAATTGAAATGAGTAATTGTAATTTACTGTATCTGTGTGGTCACAAATCAATTGCTTTAGATAGCCCCAGAACTTTGGGAACTTTCAGTACAAAGTCTCTCAAGGAGATGCAGCTTGAATGATGAGCAATTTAAATTACACTGCATTGTTTTCAGAAGAGTATAAATTTTAACACTATCACTGCACCAAGGTGCAACTTTTTGTACATGCTGAAAAAATAACACATTTTAAGACAAAAAGTGTGATAAAATAGCTAAATCAAGCTATTCTGAATAGCTTAATAAAGCTTTATAGCTAATTCAAGCTAAATAGCATAATCAAGAGACTTTGTCGGACCACAGGGGCTTGCTCCCAGCATGTGTAATAATTATTTATTTAAAAAGTAATACACAAAATCAAAAAATTTTTACAGGGCCTGGATATCGAATATCTGAAACATAATCCTCCATCATGTTCATGTTCTTCTTCTCCCTACAACTATAGTCCTGCTTGACACGTTATTACTGGTGACGTAAATATAGTTAATAATGAGGACCTTAGATCACTAATTTTAAAAGGTCCTAAATTTAGGGAACCCCGATCCTTCAACTCATTACTGGCGTCGGAATTTCATAAATATTATGGATTCTGTAGAGGACTACGCCAGGCGATGGGCCAGACATGAAAAAGAAGACCTTGACACTTTGTCAGAATGGATTAAATGTATCAGATGTATGTTAAAATCACACATTAAAAGATTGAGGGGCAATATGAGAACCATCTATCCTTCTGCATTCAATAATCCAGAAGTGAAAATAGAATTAGATAGATTACATGATCAGTATGTACTGGTCCCTGCTGACAAAGCAGGTAACAACATTGTCTTTGTTTGTAAGGATCATTATATTAAATGTATTTTAGAGGAACTTTGATTTAATTCTACAAGTGGTAATCCAACTTATACTCGTAGTTCCCTTTCTAAGGAAGAAATTCTTCAAAATCATATGTCAGTTTTGAATATTTTTAATATTCCAAACAACCAAAATGAATTTGAATTACCATATTTATATTGGATTCCGAAACTTCATAAAAATCCTTACAAACAAAGATACATAGCGGGTTCCAGTAAATGTTCAACCAAGCCTATTTCTTTACTCCTCACTAAGATATTAACAGTGGTGAAGGAGAAACTTCAAGAGTACTGTGCAACAATATATTCGAGAAGTGGTGTAAATCAGATGTGGATACTTAAAAATTCCAAGGAACTTTTGGAAAATTTGAAATCGCAAGATTTTACCAAAATCAAAAGCTTAAAAACTTACGACTTTTCTACTTTATACACAACCATTCCCCATGATAAATTAAAGTCCAGGCTTTTTGATATAACTGACAGCTGCTTTTTCAATAAAAATGGAACTCGTAAATATACTTACCTTGCCATTGGTCATTTGCAAAATTATTTTGTTAAAAAACATTCTGATTGTACACACAGGTACTCTGAAGTTGACATTAAAAACATGCTTGAGTTTCTGATTGACAATATCTATGTGGTTTTTGGAAACCAGGTCTTCCAACAATCTATTGGAATTCCCATGGGTACCAATTGCACCCCGTTATTAGCAGACCTTTTTTTGTATTCATATGAAGCAGAATTTGTCCAAAATCTTGTACGTGAAAAGAAGAAAACACTTGCTGTGGCCTTCAACTCGACATTTAGATATGTCGACAATGTATTGTCAATTAACAATGGCTTTTTCTGTTCTTATGTCGATACGATATATCCTGGTGAGCTTGAGATAAAAGATACCACAGAGTCTGACATATCTGTTTCATATTTGGATATTTTACTTGAAAAAGACGTTAATAGTAATCTAACAACCAAGCTTTATGATAAATATGATGACTTTAACTTTTCAATCGTCAACTTCCCTTACTTATGCAGCAATATACCTTCATCACCTGCATACGGGGTATATATCTCTCAGTTGATTCGATACGCAAGAGCATGCTCTACGTATGCAGGGATTTATCAGTACCTTCTCAGGGGCCGAAATTCGGCCCCATTCCCAATTGAAAATGAGTTAAATTTTTCCCAATTTGGCAGTATTTTTTCCCAACTGGTGAACAATGCTTTTATATTTAATTATCTTGGAAAAACACCAAGTAAAATTGTCAGATTGCCTGTAATTTTCCTATGTTTAACTAAATTAGCAAAGGTACAGTCATAAAACATGTTTAAAAAACTCCTTAAACATCGCCGACTTTTAATCCGAATTTCCTCTGTTTTTCTGAAAATGGTGATATTGCGTAATAATATAGATTTATTAAGTTATTTCCACATACTCAATTGATCTATGAGTGAATGTTAAGAACTGTAGGCATTATTTCAGATAGAAAACATATTTTCAATGCATTTTTACATATTAAAAGGGGACTTCGAGAAAATGTGTACTTAATTAGTATAATATTTTGCAGGAGGTTTATAATCTCCAGAAACAGATTCTAATGACCTAAATTGGAATTTCATACACACATGTACTACTAATATTTGTATAGATACTTTATACTTATTGGAGTCAAGTTTAGTTATGTTAGTCTATTATTTATAAGTTATCTTGTTTGATGAAGTTGGATCAGATTTAATTGTCTGTTTAGTTGCCCAACTTAGAGTTCATGCTGAAATGTTAAATGAATTACACCTGAATACATGATGTAAGCAAGATTTTTTATTTTTCCCAATTTCATCAAATTGCCGATAAATTTTTCCCAATTCTCAAAAAATGGCGTTTCCCAAAATAGGCTGATAAATCCCTGGTATGTACAATTTCTAAAACAAGGTAATTTATTGACAAACAAGTTGATGAAACAAGAATATCAACTGTCTCGTTTAAAGTCATCATTTCGTAAGTTCTATGGTCAATACAATGACCTTGTCAGCAAATACAATTTATCATTGAGTCAAATGCTGACTGACGTATTTCATACTAATTGTTAGGCCATTATATACACACTGAATTGTCGACGGATTTTTCCGTTATTTCCCGATCATGACAAGGTGTGACCGGTCGGCAGGGGATGCTCACTCCTCCATGGCACCTGATCCCACCTCTTATGTTTATGTTTATGTTGAGGTCCGTGTTTGCTCTGCTCCTATTTTGTATTGTTTAATGGACTTTTAAGCTTGAATACTGTTCGTTATCTCCATATATTTCATCCTAAAATAGCATTTCTTAAATCACTTCTTCAATAATTATTACATGCTGGGAGCAAGCCCCTGTGATCGGACCTGTTTAATGGGCTCAGTGTTGATGGTTCAACCCATTTGAAATCTTAGGCTGATCTATCTTAAGTCCTGGGCCAACCTTTTTGGCTGGGGTACGTGTCATTGGGCCTAAATCTCTGTGAGCTGAAGTGTAGTTGGGCTGATGTCTGGCATCCATATGGGGAAGAAGGGGTGAAAGGTGAACAAATTACTAGTTGGAATAATATGATAGCCATCTCCATTTTTTTATTTTATGTGTGTGTGGGGGGGGGGGGCATCATTATTACTAAGCATATCAAAGAGAGATACATTATTGCAGCTAAGTTCTGACTTGAGGTATTAACAGTTTAAAATATATTTACAGGGCAACATTTAGCGAACTATAAAAGGTACAGAAAACACTGGAAAATGTAGTTTTCGCTCCATCAATAAATAGGGGAGATTAAAGTATGTATTGAAATCAAGGAAAAAGGTTTGTTATCTTACTTACCTTTAACAGAAGAAGTTGTTAAATTCAACATAAATATTACAAACATAAAAGTTCTAAAGAAATTTCTGTCGCCTGTACCCATTTCGCAATGTTAGCTGAACGAAATCTAAAAAGTAGAGGTATTCCGATCTTAAGCTCGAGAAGCATGCTAATTGGCGTAAAATGGTCCTAAGTTGTGAAATACTGATTTTTTTTTAAATGAATATTTGATTAAGCAAATAAATAAATAAATAAATAAATTAATTAATTGATAAATGAATTAATTAATTTGCAGTAAATTTTGAAAGATAATTGAGCATTCAAGGTTGTGCATATCCCTGGTTGTTTTATTCGTTCTTTTAAATCACGGAGCAACATTCCTGACATTTTTATTGCAAAATTTTGATCAACAGTAGCGTGTCAGACGGACAACCTATATATAAATCATTATCTAACAAGCGGGAAAAAGAGAAATATAGAATGAGGACGATTTTTTAGAAGAGAGAAACATTTAAGTTCCTGTTAAAGGGTCAAAAAAGAAATCTTTAACCCCCCCCCTTCAAAAAAAAAAATAAAAATAAAATAAAAGATTAAATTAACAATAAAAGAGGGGAGGGATGTATCAATATTGTTACACAATTTTTCTCATGAGAAAAAAAATGAATCCAATGTACATAGATAAAAAAAATCATATTTGTATAAGACAATCAAGAAGATGGGTGAACATGACGGGCGAAAAGCCTATAGTGTGACAAACATGAAGGTGAAAAATTAAATTTCAATTATATCAAAATTTTCCTTGATATTTCATCTAACATCAAAATATACTTTATATAAAATCTCTGCAATTTGCAAAAATCCCTCAAAGATGGAAATTATTTGCCTATGAAATATTATAAACAAACTAAAGGGGGCAAAAAGAGTCATTTCCTCATACTATATATAACACTGTTTTTCGATATGAGTGGGTCTTCGCTCCACTTTTTTGAAAGTTAATCCTCAAAGTTTGCATAAAAATAAACATTTTTGGTTACCAAAAATATGGAGCAAAGACCCACTATACCTTAAAAATATACTTTTATGACATAACATTCGCAGCTTTTCGAGAAATACTTGAAGTCCATTAAGTCAAGGGTCATATCACAAACATGATTTAAATGCCACTCTTCATCAGGACTTGCCTAGTCTAGTGGTTAGCGTGCTAGTCTCGAAAGAAAATGATACTCAAGATTTTTATTGCAAGGGTTCGAACCCCACAAATACTACATTATTTTTTAGATAAAAGAATAAATATTGCCGAGAAATTTTTCCTCAGAAAAGTTTTGTTTATCATAATTTCATAGATTTAAATAATGAGAATTTTACTCTAAATACTAAATTCACAGATTGAATATGATTTTTATATATCTGAAGCTATAGGCTTTCTGCACGCTATGTTCACCCATCTACTTTTACTGATAAATGAAAGTTAAAATGACACCGAGCATTTTGTGATGTTTTTATTGTTGATATTATGTATTAAACTTGGAAAGTACCGGTAGTGCAGGAAAAAATTGTGATAATGTACTAAACTGAGCCTCACTTGTTGATAAGAAGCATGTTCCCTTCAAAAACAGCTTGGCGAATGTAATTATTTTGTGTATTATAACCCCAGTGAGAAGTCTGGAGTTCCACAACTTCACCTTTATTTTGAGACGAATTTTGCGGGAAAACAAATCTGACATGCCACCTCAACAATTTAACCAAGGAAAGACAACTTGATGTGCTTTGATTTGAGTGGTCACTCACTGCTGAACGAAAATTAGGGACATTTCTATGTGAAGAAACGTTCACATTGTCATATATGGGAAAACAATTAGAGGATTTTACCCATTTATCTGACAACTTTACATAATTTCTGACTATAATTTTATAGTCGTCATTATAATGTAAATTTCTTGTTCCTTGCCATATCTTGTAATGAAAAATATGAGGATAACGAATAGTGATAGATTTATAAAAATCTACAAATAATACTTTGTGAACAAGGCATGAAACACGGACCCTGGAAAATTCCAGAGGTGGGATCAGGTGCCTAGGAGGAGTAATCATCCCCTGTCGACCAGTCACACTCTCCGTGAGCCCTAAGTATTGACAAGTAAGTGTCAAATTTAGTATAAAAACAATGGCCTAACAATTGGTATAAATATGTCACTCCAAATGCAGACCAAAGATAGGTTGCATTTGCAAAGGCCATTATAACAATAGAATTTTCGAAATGCTGACGAGGGTGTTGAAATGCCTGTAAATCAACTTATTTGTCAATATATAGCCTAGCTCGGTTTAGAAATTGATCGTAATCAGAGCATAGTAAAAAAACATTTAAAGCTTATCATTGACATAAGGATTGCGCAAGTTTTGAAAGTGTGTCATGACCTTGACCTAAGGTCATTGGGCAAGTTCAAGGTCACTGACAGAAAAAGTGTTAAATTCATTATGGTCTGTTACTCTCTGATTTGGAAGATGATACTTGACACATATACTAATGACCCGAAGGTGTGTTATGAAGGTCATAAGGGCAAGTCAAGGTCTTTCATAGAAAAAAAAGTGTAAAATGCTTTCTAATGGAGATAAACATTAGATGCTCATATACTTCAAACAAGAGATGTTTGTGAAAACTTATCCCCTCCCCCAAATAATTGGAATTTTTTAAAGTCCAAGGGGCATAACTCTGTCAAAAATTGATCGATCGTTTCTGAAACAGAGCTTGACCTAGATATTTTTATGATTAACCTGTATAACAAATTTCATTTCAGTATGTGCAATCTCTGCAAAGAAAATGAACGGAAACTGCAAATAATAGGAATTTTTCAAAGTCCAAGGGGCATAACTCTGTCAAAAATTGCTCGATCGTACCCAAAACAGAACTTGATCAGATATTCTTATGATAAATCTGTATATGTACCAAATTTCATTTCAGTATGTGCAAACTCTGCAAAGAAAATGAACGGAAACTGCAAATTACAGGAAATTTTTCAAAGTCCAAGGGGCATAACTCTGTCAAAAATTGTTCGATCGTACCCAAAACAGAACTTGACCTATGTATTCTTATGATAAATCTATGTACCAAATTTCATTTCAGTATGTGCAACCTCTGCAAAGAAAATGAACGGAAACTATAAACAGCTGATAAATGATTGGAATTTTTCCTAAGTCCAAGGGGCATAACTCTCGACTGTCAAAAATTGCTCGATCGTACCCAAAACAGAACTTGACCTAGATTATGTATACCAAATTTCATTTCTGTATGTGCAATCTCCGCGAAGATAATGAACGGGAACTGATGGTGGACCAACAGACAGACCAACCGACAGACAGCAGCAAAGCAATATGCCCTCCCTTCTTAGAAGGGGGGGGGGTAACAAAATTATTTATGTTCACAGGGTGTATTATGGTCATTTTGGCAAGTTCAATGTCACTTTTATAAAAATGTATGATTGATCATTCCATTTTGTAGTGGAGAAACATTGGAAGCTCAATTAATCTTGGCACATCTTTCTCCTGGTAGAAAAGTATATAATCCTATTATAATCTTTATCTGATTCCGGCATTTTCAACATAGGGTTCTTGCAATATTTCCACAACAAAAATGTTCAAGACAATGCAATATAAGTGAACAAAAATCACTGTTGTATACTTACATTGGGAAAATTGTAAAGAACGTATTCAGTTACCATGGTTACTTTATCTTGGCATTCTTGGACATCTATAATGTTGAGAATACTTTAAACTGTGTCATTAACTGTAGATTCCGTTTCGTTTGTAGGAGCGAAATCGGCTGAAAAAAAAAAAAGAAAAAAGACCTGACACGATCGTAAAAATGAGAAATGGATACAGCAGTAATAATAACCAATACATAGTATTCGTCGCCCGGTGCATGCTTATAGGTTCTTTGCTTCAATTAGCCCATTCTTTTTGAGAAGAGAGTTCCGAAAGGTGTTTGTCAAAGATGGCTGGATCTGAAAAGAAACTCGAGAGATCGAAGAGTGGACTTCGAATGATCCCCGTGTCTGACACTGACTCGAGCCCCTTTTCCCTTCCAGAACCTCCCTGGGTATCAGACGATGAGGTAAGTTAAATGTGCCAGTAATGACAAAAGTAAACAGTACCGTAAACTTCATCGTATTTATGCATATAAATGTACGCCCATCATAAAAACGGGAGATTTTTTTCCCTACCAAAATGGGTAGCATTGTATTTTATCAGATCAAACCTTTGTGACACGGTTTAATGGAATATTTTTTGTGTTTTTTTTTTCCAGTGCAAACAGTGTCAAAACTGCAGAGCAAAATTTGATTTCTTTAAAAGAAGAAAGGTAAAGACTATAAGAGCAACAGACGGATATGTATTCAAATATAAAAAGATTCAAAATGTTATAAATATATTGACTCTTTTTAAAAAAAAAAATTACAAGACAATCTAAGTAAAGTTACCATGTTAACTGAGATTCTCCATATTCTTGAATCAGCATCACTGCCGTCGCTGTGGAAAGTGCTTCTGTAATGACTGTTGTCAAGAGAAGGTGAATTTACCCAGGATGCTATTCCTGGACCCAGTCCGCCACTGCCAAGTCTGCACAGAGATTTCAAGGAAGGAGGAGGACTTCTTCGAGAAGCATTTAAAAACACTGCTGAATGGTACATTTCTCTGATATAATTACAGTTAATCTTCGGTATCCCAAACATTGATTCTCAAATACCATTTATATGTGTCAAAGGTAGTTCCACTGCTTGTATGTATTTTAATGTCTATGTTGAATCCTCGGATGTATCAAAGTTTTTTTTTCAGCCCCATTGAGTTCAAGTTAACAAGTTTTGACTGCACTGTATATAAGGTGTAAAAATGTTTCACAATGTTGATCATGTACTGAGCATGCTGTTTTTGTAGGAGGTTATTTCAATGTGACTGAGTCAGATATGGGGCCAGATGAGGGATCTCTCTTCTTCCTCAAACTTTCAGCCAATCACAGGTAAAAAACACTTTTAATTGTGTCCCCTCTCAAAAAATGGTTGGAATGTTACTTTAACCCTATAATAATAAATTGCTAGTCTGTTCTTCTTTCTGCCATGAATAAAGCAGTTTTACGACTTTATTTATCATTGCCATTCACTACACCAAATATCCTTAAAGATCTGGTACCTTTTATCTGCCCATGGCAGTGTGTAGCAAGAAAAACTAATATTGCAATAGTCATAGTGACTCCCAATCCTTTTGATGTACAAATAGGTATACCTCCTAAGTGTGCAGAAATATCTCTTACATCCAAATTAAGTCAATGAAACCTTGAGATTATAAATTTAAATTTATGTATGTGATTTTATAATGGTGACTTATAAATCAAGTGTTGGTTCTCATCCATTTAGTGTAATATGCCTTTGAGTTATGAATATTTTGTAGAACATTGTTGCAGTAGCATATAGTGCAATCAGTATTGAGCTGGGTTAGATTATATATGTTATATATGTTAATTCCATTTAATCTTGTGTTATAAAAAGACATTCTTATATAATTTAGATCATTCTTTTAACATTTCATTGATAAGCTAAAGAAAGATTAATATTGAAGAATATTAAAGAAATTAATCAAAGCAAGAAACTGAAAATAAAAAGAAACATGAAGAACTAATTTGACTGTATTTTTAAGATATTTAAATACTGAATGCTTCTATAGATGGCACAAGACAACAAAATGATTAATGTCTTCTTACTGACCCAAAATGTTTTAAAATCTATTTATAGACAGCTGCTGTTTGAGGGAGATAATGATAAACGCGAACCTGTTCAGATTGAGAAAATAGACACCTTGCAGATTCTACCATCTGGAAAGGATGAAGAAGGTGAAAAGTTTGTTTTTATTAACAACAAAGTAAAATGTCATCAAATGGTCGCTAGAATCGTGCATTTGAAAAAATTGGCAATAGAAATGAAATTAATTTATCAATGTTTTGGCCCATAAAAAATTCCATTATACATGTCTTTTTCTGCCCCATAATGCTCCCAGGAGATGAAATTTATACAGGTAAACTTGTAAAAACTCATTTTTGTTGTGTATTGTTGTGTTATGCTGGAGATCATTACTTGGTTAGTGTTGTGTGTATTTTCTTATGCCTTGTCACGAATATGGTCGGGGTGTACAGTGTTTGTCATGTCTGATGTCATCCATCTCTTTGTCTGTCACTTTGCAGTTAGTCCAGTTTCAAAGACACTCTTAAGATATTTTTATCAAAATTCATAAACTAGCTGATACATATTGCTAAGAGCTATTCAAGTGTGTCAGAATTTTTTGACCTTAACCCCAATGGTTTTGACTTCATTATTCATCAGTTTAAGTTTAGCTCAGCTTCAAAGAAACTATTCTAGATATTTTTATCATAACATATTCTTATACAAATTGGTGAGAGTTACTCAATTTTGTCAGAATTTTCTGACCTTGACTGACCCTGTGACCTTGAACTTTAATTTTCTCTCATTTTGCATTTTGTTATCGTGTTGAATTCCATAGAGGATTACTGAATACAACTCCATATATGTATAAATCTGTGAGAACATTTCATCCATACCTACCTAAAATATCATGTATACATTTGCTATGTATGAAGAAAATGAATTGAAACATGGAGACTTATGGATAGGATGGATAGGTTGAATGGATAGGATGAATGAACACTGCACACATAAAAGATGTCAAAAGACTTTTGTGGGCTACCAGGTCAGACCTCTCCACAAACAGAAAGATTATTGAAATGTTAATATATGAACTCTTTTAAAGTTGAATACCTATCATTCTACAAACACCAAACCTGTGAGTGTTTACATGTAGGTGGAATCGGGTATCTAGTATAGATGAATTGAATCCTTTTGGAGTTTGATAGGAATTTTTATTAATTAAATAGTACACTTAAATATTTAGAAACTCATATTTTCTATAAAATACTGGCTATAACATGATGACACATTATTAGTTCACAAGGTCAAAGTTTAATAAAGCTCAAGAGGTCAAGGTTATGGGTAAAATCCCTGGATACCTCACTTGGGCATCATTATGTATTAAATTTATGTTCATTGAATTTAGTAGAAAATTCTAAAAAAAAAATTTACATATGGTTTGAAGGCAACACGTTAGCAGGGGGCATTGCAATAAAATACACAGACACAACTGGAGGAACAAACATTATTAAGATGATGGTGGATAGTGGGGGAAACAAAAAGCCAGGACAGATCTGGATTGCTGCCATGCAGAAAGTAAGATTCTACGATCACTGTTGTATATATATATATGTATATATAGAGAGAGAGAGAGAGAGAAATTAAAGTGTCCAGTTTTCTTATATAAAGAAATTAAATAAATGTAAGGCAACACAGAGTTAAACATTAACATTTTCATTAATATCTGCAGAGTTTTACCCCCCCCCCCCCCCCCCCCCCCAAGGAAAACCCAAAAAAACAAAAACAGCATTTTCCTGATACATATGATATATATACACTTAAAATAGGTGACACCAAAGTAATATAGAGGGATAAATTTACCACATATAGAATATAGAGATATGCAATAAAATACTTGTACTATTTAGATAAAATTATGCAATTTTATCAAACTGCTAAGATTAAGTTAAAATATTTGAATAAAAAATGTTTTTCATTTTCTGAGTCTTATTTCTGTAATATTATCTGTTTAAAGTTTATAGAAAGGAAACATTTTAAACCGTCCATGTTCTCAGATATCATAATGTGTTTACATTTCTCTGCAATTTGAATTTGTTGTTAATGCACACATTCTGGCTCACCGTATGGTACATGTACCTATCTACACATGTACAGTTTAGATGTTAAATTGCTTGCAGCCTCTTTAAGTTATACATGTTTATTAAATTTTTAGATTCATGTGACCTTGGTCAAATTAAAAGAGAACTCTTCTAAAATCAAAGGAAGTCCCTTGTGACTATAGGTTTTCAAAAAGAACATGTTAGATTAAATGAAGTTCCTTGTCAAAAAAAAAAAAGACCTGCCACATTGCAGGTCTTTATACTTTATTGTCAAAGGAATTTTGGTGAGACTTCAGATGATGTTCTCAATTCTTAACTAAAGCAATTGAAGAAATGATTTTATATATCCTTGAAAAAAAAATGAGTTATGAACAAAGAAAAAAAAAACAGCTCAAAAATATCAAAAAAATTGCTCAGTCCATCAAAAATCAGAAAATCCATTAAGTTTGTGATTAAAAGAACTTGACAAGATTTTTAAATTCAAAACTATAAAGAATCTTCAGATGATTGGATTGATTTACTAATGTATTCCTATCTAGTGTCTTTTAAATTTCACTTAACTTTAATTTGTTTCTTCAATTGTGTAAGTTTCATTTTTTAATATCTAAAAATGTAAAATTTACCAGATGTGATCTATATATATAAGTAGCATATATACCTATTTTGAGTAACTTGCAAGGGAAGTAAAACTACAATCAGTCAAATAAAAATAAAAAAATGTGTAGTTTATCTCATTTAGAAAAAGTTATTTACTGATGACATTTTGATCTGCGAATCTTTTTTCAACTAAGCAGGAAGCTAACATTGTAAATGTTTAGATGTGAATAGTACACTGTATATTCCTTCCTGTTAGTACAACACACTGTATGTCTCTTCCTGTTTTTTTAGTTTCCTGACATTAAATTTGATCAATTTATTAAAGTTCATGCATTGTTATTGTTTTTATTGCAGGCATTTAAAATGGTATATGATGCAAGGGCAAAGTAAAGTTGGAAGATATCAGGGGGAGAGAAGTCAGGAAAAAAAGATCTAAAGATAGGAGATGAAGTCAAAACAGAAATACACAGTGGCATTTTATTTAATGAATCATGGGCTCTCTTGCCAGATTAGTACGTGTTGTGTCTGTGATTAAATAAGTACATGTCTATAAATACTCTTTATGTATAGAAGTATTTAATTATTCCATGTTTCATACATTTATATATGTAACTGTGATGCACATTGATGATGTACATTGCACTGTGTGTACATTTGCATGTATTTAATACAGTCAAATTTCAGTATCTGGAATATGTATTTTTGAGATACATTGGGATGTCAAAGTGAGTTGTTATGTATTATGCATACATATCTCAACTTTGGTATCCAAACTCTTGAGATATCTCAAGGTTTTTTTGACAGTCCTACCATAAAACAATTAACATAAATATTTCTAACTCCTCAGATATCTCATAAGTTTTTTTATGTGATTCCTGTCACAATATAAATCTCAACTTTAACTCTGAGAGATATCTCAAGATGTTTTATCACAGTCCTGCCTCTATATAATGCTTAAGTATTTCTTTCTCCAGAGATATCTCGTGGATTTTTGACAGTGAATCCAGTCATAATACAAATCTTTTTTTTAATGCTTTATAATACAAATCTTAAATTTATCTCAAATCTGAAATATCTCAAGGGTTTTATTTCAGTAAATCCTGTCACAATACATTTCTTAACTTTATCTCAAACCCTGAGATATCTCAAGGGTTTTTTTTTTTGTCAGTGAGTCCTGTCATAATACAAATTTGAACTTTGGTTTATCTGTAACTCTAATGCATCTCAAAGCTTTTTTTTTTTTGTGGCAATGGATCCTGTCATAATAAAAATTTCAGCTTTTATATCTTAAACCCTGAGATATCTCAAGGTTTTTTTTGTCAGTGAGTCCTGTCATGATAATACAAATCTCAACTTTAGCATCTCAAATTCTCACATATCTCAGTATATTTTATGACAGTCCTACCTTTTTTGAGATATAAAAGGAGTTTGACTGTATGAACAAGGAGGATTATATATATATATATATATATATATATATATATATATATATATATATATATATATATATATATATATACTGACATATTAACCAAATTGTTACTTTGTAAGGATAGGTTGTACCCTATTGGTTATTGTTTTAATAAGCACAGTCACAGTCTTCATAAATGTTCATTATACATGTATTAATGAAGTAGACTAAGTTCCATTATTGTTAAACACAAGTACTTCTATATACGTCAGAAATCTTGAGATGTATATTTTTTTCCATCCTGTGACTTGTAAGTCCAGAAAACTTGGCTTTAAAAGTTTATTTGATAAAAACTCTAATTTTTCTTCAATCTTCTTAACTAGCTGTGATGCATGCATTGTATGTTTTTGCATGACTTAGACATTCTTTTTAAGTTTAAAAAAATTATAAACGTTTTATACAATAAAACATTTCTTTAAAAAGTGAACATAGGATCTGTAAGATGGACCAAAATAAGAGAAAATCAGTTAAAATAGCTAGGACTGTGTGGTTGTAGGTTAAATACGATTGAAATTAAGGCTATGAGTACATGTAAGAAAATGGGAGAAGCCATGTTTTAAACACTTCAAAGAGCTTGATTAAAGTTTTAAGGATGTTGACAAAACACTCATCATGAGTTGGATAGATGCATGCATTGTTAAAGTCTTCCTAATATTCAGCTGTACTTCAGAGGTGTTTAAAATGTGGGCTACTGTGTTTTATGTACAGGTTCCTTTTTATTGTGATAGAGAATGTATTGAAAGTTGGTGCTAAACAGTAATATTGCTGTAACCGATTGAATACTGTATATAATATTGTACATATATAGTGTAATTATTGTATATAATGTATACTTATAATTATTAATGTTAAACCATTACATATGAACTGTCATAAAAGCAATAAAAAACATAGGAGTTGTCAGAAAGCATTATGGGTCATGGGGTGTAATTTATCATTAATTACAAGTAAAGATAATGTTATTTATAATTAGTAGTGACTATTAGTATACACTTTTAACACTTTAAATGTTATCTATAATTGATGTAAAATTTTTGTAATAAAATCTCGGTAAGATACATTTACATATTGTGTTACTTATCAAATTAATTTTGCTGGAAATATTTGTCACTAGCAGAACCCCTGGATATTTAGAAAAAAAGTCTTTTGCAAGTCTGGGCAGTGGAAGATTAGAATCATGCTTTTAAATAAAACAGTGCATGCAGTGTCCACTGGAAATTTGATTAAAAATTATTGATCTGGTGTAACTTTAAACTTTGATATTGCCAGACTTTGAAAACAAGGAAAAAAGTTCACACTTAAACTTTTAAACCAGGGGTGTTAAAAGGTTCCTCACACATTTTCCACTGAGCGAACGGTGTCCTTATTGCCTTCATCAACAAACGGAAAGCTTTTTAATTTTTTTTTGGTGTTTTCTTAGCACGCTAAGAGTAAACCCCCTTCTTTCTGATGCATGTTAAATATACCAGGAAAGTCTTTTGAGAAGAGGTTGAACTGCGAAGATTAATTTCCATTAAGTCTACATGTAATGCCTGAGAATGCAAAGCAACATATGTAGACCTATGACATCCTCCAACACATACACATTATCCTTCCTTAATGTTCACTGATACTCTGATAAGAGAGATAACTCTAAATGACATAAATGTCTATTAATAGATTTGCAAAGTTGAAGTGTCTTTTTTGTCCAATTTTGCCCCGCAAGCTATGATATAATTATTTGTATTTTACTTATAAATTACATTTCTTTTGGAAAATCATTTTGAGCAACATTGTATGTGTGAGCAGAGGGTTTATGAACCTTAATTAAGATGCTCTTCTGTTATCTCCTGTACTGGTGTGTGCAATGTTTATGAATGATAGAAATGTTCAATTGATACCTGTAGTAATACGAAATTTATAGATAAGTTGATCATATTTCATGAGTTGTAAAAGAAGGACCATAAATTAGAAATCTTGTAAAATCAAGTCCATGGAAGGCATAACGCCGAAATTCGAATGAGAAACCACGCCCAAAATTAATATGGATATCATAAAAGGGAATGTACGGCATGAAATATTTCTCACTTGAATCACCCTACTCTTCTGTGAAACTTGAAGAGAGAAGGCGAAGTGCCGAAATTCAAGAGGGAAACCACACCAAAGGTTTTGCTTCAAGAAAAGAAGGGCGAAACGTTGCCCAAATGAATCATCGTATATACGTATTAAGATATTTTTTTAAACTTTGGAATTCCTTATTTTTTAATTAACTTCAAAATCCTCACAGAAAATACAGAATACTTCTTTAATGGTATTTGAGCGTCTTCGTTATACATGACGTTCCTGTACTACGCAGTATAAAACGCTTCACCATTCATTTGCTAACTGTATAACTTTTACAATAATTTCAACATCTTTTCTCTGTAAATACCTTCAACGTATACAAGAAAAATATGAGTCGAGCTTTTTTCTCATATTTGTTAATTCTGTTTTTAAAATATTCATAAAAACCGGGAGTTCTACCTTCACTTATATTATTTGAAGTGACCAAAACCCTCTGACCATTTTATTTTATCTACCAAAGAGGATAAAACTTTCGTTTAAACAAATTGAATCTCAAATAGCTTTATTTCAATTTTTATTGAAAAAAGACTACCAATTGTGGGTAAGAAAGTTGAAAATTGATCTGTTAATCCCCCCCCCCCCCAAAAAAAAAAACAAACAAACAAACAAACAAACAAAAAAAACAAAAACAAACGCGCACACACAAAACAAAATAAATTCTGGAGAGTTTCCTGGCATATTTAGCTCACCTGGTAAGAGCTATGGCTTTCATATTTCACTTGTGTATTTCTTGTGACAAGACCTTTTTTTGAGTACCATAATATCTGACCTTTTAACCTTGACCTTGGAGTTTGACCCAGTTTTGCAAAATTTTACCCAACTTTAACCTTGCCCATAACTTTTGAACAGATTGTGCTAGGGCTTTCATAATTCATGTGTAATGCTTGTGACAAGACCTTCTTTGGATATCATCAACTTTGACCCTTCGACCTTGACCTAGGAGTTTGACCTACTTTTAAAAAAAATTAACCTTGGTCATAACTTTTGAACGGTTGGAGCTTGAGCTTTCATACTTCAGATATGTAATTCTTGTGACAAAACCTTTCTTTGGATACCAGCAACGTTGACCCTTTGACATTGACCTTGGAGTTTGACCTACTTTTGGAATATTAATTAACCTTGGCCATAACTTTTAAACAGTTGGTTCTAGGGCTTTCACACTTCACCTGTGTATTTCTTATCACAAGTCCTTCCTTTAGATACCAACAATTATAGCCCATTGACCTTGGAGTTTGACCTACTTTTGGAAAATTTTACTTGGCCATTACTTTGAACAGTTGGTGCTAAGGCATTCATACTTCAAATATGTAATCCCTGTGACAAGACTTCCTTTGAAAACCAACAACTTTGACCCTTTGACCTTGGAGTTTGACCTACTTTTGAAAAATTTTAACCTTGGCCATAACTTTTGAACGGTTGGTGCTTGGCCTTTCATATTTCACATGTGTATTTTTTGTGAGAAGGGATTTCCTTGGGCACCATTAATTTTGACCTTTTGACCTTGATGTTTGACCTACTTTTGAAAAACTTCAACCTTTTCCAAACCTTTTAATGGTTGCTGCTAGAGCTTTCTATTTCACAGTTATATTCCTCGAGACAGGACCTTACTTTGGGTACCAACGTTTGAACAGATTGTGCTAGGGCTTTCATAATTCATGTGTAATGCTTGTGACAAGACCTTCTTTGGATATCATCAACTTTGACCCTTCGACCTTGACCTAGGAGTTTGACCTACTTTTAAAAAAAATTAACCTTGGTCATAACTTTTGAACGGTTGGAGCTTGAGCTTTCATACTTCAGATATGTAATTCTTGTGACAAAACCTTTCTTTGGATACCAGCAACGTTGACCCTTTGACATTGACCTTGGAGTTTGACCTACTTTTGGAATATTAATTAACCTTGGCCATAACTTTTAAACAGTTGGTTCTAGGGCTTTCACACTTCACCTGTGTATTTCTTATCACAAGTCCTTCCTTTAGATACCAACAATTATAGCCCATTGACCTTGGAGTTTGACCTACTTTTGGAAAATTTTACTTGGCCATTACTTTGAACAGTTGGTGCTAAGGCATTCATACTTCAAATATGTAATCCCTGTGACAAGACTTCCTTTGAAAACCAACAACTTTGACCCTTTGACCTTGGAGTTTGACCTACTTTTGAAAAATTTTAACCTTGGCCATAACTTTTGAACGGTTGGTGCTTGGCCTTTCATATTTCACATGTGTATTTTTTGTGAGAAGGGATTTCCTTGGGCACCATTAATTTTGACCTTTTGACCTTGATGTTTGACCTACTTTTGAAAAACTTCAACCTTTTCCAAACCTTTTAATGGTTGCTGCTAGAGCTTTCTATTTCACAGTTATATTCCTCGAGACAGGACCTTACTTTGGGTACCAACGTATTTGATTTGCATTTGAGAAAGTTCGCTATAAGTTTCCATATCGGGGCATCAATGTTTCACAAACACAGCTTGTTTTTTGTTTTGTTTTGTTTTGTTTTTTTTTTGCTTTTCAGATTTTTTTTTGGGGGGGGGGGTGCCCCCCCCCCTTTGAAACCGTTGCTACGGGCCTGAATGTTTACCAATATTTTTTTTAATGAGAACATGCAGCTCCATGAACCCATAACTCAAGCTTAACAGACGTACAAAGGGTGTATTTTTATTGATCCAATTGAAGACATCGTTTTTGGTTTACAATGTATGCACTTGCCTGACTTGAAAGTTCTTAACGCCTTTGTTGTAAGCGTGTATATTAGGGTCGAACGAGTTCCACTGAATAGATCACCGAGTACACAACGTAAAGTATGCGGAAGTGAGCGGAGTGGTAGTTACATGTAACAGTCTATTTAACCGAATTGATAATTGATATTAAAGAAATCTTTTTTCTCATTCATTTGATTTCTTTTTACAGTTTGAATGTCAAACCTCCTTGAACATGTTGAATATATTAATTGATATTCGCTATAAAGTGTCACACATGTTCCGTATTAATTAAAAGCTCATACAGCTGGCATAGCATTTGACTTCGATTTATTTGTGACTCATTCCCAAGTTCTTCACATGCCATCGTTACGTAATAAAGATTTTTACGCTAAACTGTTTTGAGAAACCGTAGATACACACGTAGATGCCAGAAAGAAATCGAACTCTGCAGAGCGTTTGTCTTGTGAGAACATTTAATTTTTTTCACAGCATTTTCAGTGTATTTCAGTGGTTTAAATGCACGTGTATTAATCTTCTATATCGCTCAGTGTTGTGTGCAGCATCATATATATAGTTAACATGCCTCCACTGTTTCAACATATGAAACCTTCAAGGATCATTATGAAATTGGGATAAGGACTTAATTGTTGACAATTTAAAAAATACGCTCCTTTTGCAAGGACATACAATGTACAAGTACGCCGTGAGCATCAGTGTCTGTCGCGTAGTCGTTATACAGTGTATGTATCTTTAGAGAAGTGGTAGCTAGAAGCTAAATGGTAAGTTAATTTCGTAAATATTCAACTGACCTGCAAAACTTTAAAAAAAACAAAGAATTGCTGCTTTATATATCAACTTTTGATTTTAGTTCCTAGCATCTTAACATATATATGAGGCTATAGAAACATAGGTTGTGAAGTTGCAGTAAACTAAGATAACAATTTTATATGTACGATCAGACTCATTATAATGAGTTTAATAGGTCGAATTAAATAGGTCAATGGGTGACATTTAATAGCATGTTTACATGCCAAAGCGATATAATACAGTTCCCAAACGAAAACTGCTAATTAATAAACATATTTTGGGCTAAAAACATGTATGAGATTTGTTAAATAAAATTCCAGTATTTGTAAGCGCTGTGCTCCATCTTTTCACTCAAGGTTCCACGAAATGTCGAAACTGCCTTAACAGTGGCCTAAGTTGGATAGTGTTCTAAATTGTTCATGTCGTGGCTTGAGGGATACACCCTTTG